GGGTACTCAGAGTTTACGAAATAACCTGTTGCATGTCCTAATTGAACTGAACTCAAACGCAATAGTGACCTAATTTCTCCTGTGTATTTCTCCTGCGTCATAATTTATTCTCACTATCAAGCGGTTATTACTGTAAAGCGACAGTGTAAAAGAAAACAAATTGCCAAACAATTAAAAGTCGTGCAAGCTTCTGAAAGAACGTTTTAAACAATGAATAAACAACAAATGTTCACTACGTCAACTTGCGTTTAGCCCTGTAAAACAGGCAGGTACATTGAGGATTTTTGTTATTTCAGTTAAAAGGATTCTCCCTGTGCTGTCTCCACCGCACGTTTGTATTATTTCTTTGAGGGGTGGTGTAGGAAGAGACGTGGAAAGGGGAAGAGGTGTTAAACGTGAGAATTTTGGGTCACATTGTCTCATCAGAAAGGTGTACATGAAGTAGTATTATGAAACAATTAGCTTACACAAATTACACAATATATAAAATAATAAATGTGTACTTCGATGTCGGCCTCTGTGGCTTTGGTGTTGCGGGTTGCCGGGTTCGATCCCTGCTGCTGACGGTTTGTCTTGCGATGGTTTCGACCGTGGTACCGAGACGACAGTAAGCAGTGGTAAACTACTGGACGTGAATATGCCTAGAAAAACCACAACAGCCAGAAAGTTCTGGGGTTGGTTCTGCAACGTCCTGTAAAGGATACGCAACTAATTTAATCCCCGATAACTCGATGAACACTTTATGTGCCAATTGTAAGCCCGAGGAGTAACCAGGATACTTGTTATGAAAATTACTAATATTACTACATAGCCAGTGTAGTTGCCACGTACTGTGCAGTTAAGGACATTATCACCCTTCCCCTTCCCCCCCCCCCCCCCCCCCCCCCCGGCGTCAGGAAAACAACCATAGCCGTACTGAGCCTTCAAATCGCCTGAACGAGAAGCTCAATGTTCTTAGCCGCTACCACCGTTCATGTTGTTGCTTCCTATTATTTTTATTGTATGACGCACCTGTCGCAGTATGTCTGGCAACTGTGAAACAGGAAAAATCAGTAGGTCACGGGACAGTCTAATATTTTAGGGGGTGGTAGATAAGCTGCATGCAGTCGTGGGACCTAGGCTGCATGCAGTTGTAGGACCTAGGCTGCAATCTCTCGCGGGACGTAGGTGGGGTGGGGCTAGAGCCAGTTCTATATATTTTGAGGTCGTTAAAATCATCAGAAAGCCGGGAAACCCAATCTTACCACCCTCTAAAATGTTGGACTGTCATGTGACGTCATCTGAGGCGTAGGATTTTAATAAAGAACCATATTTACACATCGAATATGCTGTTGGCCCAACAAGTATATTGTCCCTATAATCGGCCGTAGTTGACCTATCAGGACACTTGGCTGTCGTGCTGGAGACCCGTGTTCGAAACCTCAACCAGGTGATGGAACCCACAGTTAGTGGCTACTGCACTAGCCATGCAGCCCTAAATCCTTGATACGAGGAAAGATAGTAATGACCCCCCCCCCCCCCCCCCACATCCCCTTTTTTTCCCTCTGCTGTTCGATCCTGTCCATTGTATTTTACGTGATTAAACTTGATTGTATACTTATATATAGTCAATGTTTTTGGAGATGTTATGAGAAGAAATCCACTTCTAGAATTTGATAACAACTGGCAAGATTGATGGGGAGGTAGCAAGAGGAAGGCAAAGAGTTAAATACCTGGATGGCCTGGCTAAATGGATGGGGCGAGAGAAAACAACATTGAAGTGATCTGGGATTCTGGTAATCGTGTGAGATGGCAAAACATAACAGCCTATGCTTACTGACACGGCACATGATGATAATCATTGATACTTATGCATCGAATGGTTTAATGATTTTATTTTGTTGTATTTATTTTAATAATTTTTTTCATAAGTGTTTTTCTTTCCTGTTCAAATATACAAATACATTTATCGTTCTTGTCCTTGTAGATCTTGTCAGTTAGAGATCACTTACAGTTACAGGAAGTTCTCATGCAGACATGGCCGCGGAATTGTAAAGCCTGGAAAACTCTGCCTAATTTATGAGGTGAGATTACTCATTTTTTTACTTTATTGTCTTTACTTTTGGTTGTTTCAAATATGAATTACGCAATCTACAGTGTTAGTCTCATCTCGTGTTGTCTCCCTGGTGATGTTGCGGTGTCGAGGTGAGATGTAAACTGCAGGAGTGTGCCTGACTGTTTGTCCATGATGGGGATTCTTTTGAACTAAAGATCACTTTCATTTTCCTGACAGCGCATGCAGATGTACAAGGAAGTTATCAGTCTTTTTATAAGCTTGAATAAGGCTACTGTTGAAGTGGAGACGAGCTATGGGCCTAGCTGAAGTACTGAGTTTCAGTTAGTCGACAGAATATTATTTTATTATCATCGAACCATTATTTTACCCACCAAGTCACCAAGTGCTGATTCTTCCTCTTCTTCTTTTCTTTAGCATTCAGAGATGTTCATTGCTGCAGATATCAGCTGCCTCCATTCATCTCTCTGGTTGGCCTTCACTTTCCGGTTAGTGAGACAAAGTGTTTGCATGTCTGTCTGGACATTATAGACACTCGGCACCAAGTGCCCTAGGTTTAACCCTAGGGGTGGAAGAAGGGACCTTTACATCAAACCATTCAGTCCATAAGTGCTCAGATCCCCTCCTCAGTATCTTCCTCAGCGTGTAGTGGCTTATGACACCATTTCTGGGCTATCTTTCGAATAACGGTCCTAAATTATCAAGGAGGAAAATATACCCTAACAGGGCCTCAGTCATCTGTCAGTTGCGCACTTCCATCGTCTTAAACTGCGCACTTCCGGCGACCTTTGGCACCGCCGAGTATCTCCCACGCCGCTCATGTGGCGTGGATTGGGGCTAAACTAGATGGCTAGGACTCACGAGCAGCAGCTACCGCATCTCCTGCAGCTTCATTTATTTTATTTCGCTCGTGAGTCCTAGCCATCTAGTTTAGGGATACTCTCAGCAGTGGCGGAGGTCGCCTCAAGTTCGCAATTCAGCAGTGGCGTTATAGTCCCCAGGAAGTGTGCAATTGACACGTGACTGAGGCCTTGTTAGGGTATATTTTTTGCCTCAATAATTTAGGACAGTTATTCGGAGGATAGCCCCAGGTCTGTATTGGTTTACTATTCTTCTGTGAAGCGCTATTGTCTGACTTCACCCCTTTTGATGTTATGCTGGTGTAGTCAGTGGTAATGATTCATGATCATGACTTGATTTGTCTTTAATTGAGAAGCCTCTCTGAGAGCATTCAGTATATCAGCCCTGTCGATTGCTCGTCCGTTTCCCATGTGAGCATCACTTGCAAGTCTGTCAGCTCGTTCATTGCCCTTTACACCAGGGACTCCACCCATTGTCTTTGTATGCAAGAATTCTCAATCTTCTAGAGCATATTCATTGAGTTGCTGTCACTGATATACCTAATTATTTAATAGAAGTAATTAGTAAGACATTTGCGACAACCAAATGATAACTCATTAACTGAATCTGCAACCATGATCTGGTTCCATTTGTCCCAGCTAGTTCTATTTGTCCCAGTTGGTTCCATTTTCTCCAGCTGGTTCCATTTGTCCCAGCTGGTTCCATTTGTCCCAGCTGGTTCCATTTGTCCCAGCTGGTTCCATTTATCCCAGCTGGTTCCATTTGTCCCAGTTGGTTCCATTTGTCCCACTTGGTTCCGTCTGTCCTACTTGGTTCCATTTGTCCCAGTTGATTTCTATTTGTCCTAGTTGGTTCCATTTGTCCCACTTGGTTCCATTTGTCCCAGGATCTTCCATTTGTCTCAGTTGGTTTCATTTGTCCCAGTTGGTTCCATTTGTCTCAGTTGGTTCTATTTGTCCCAGCTGGTTCCATTTGTCTCAGTTGGTTCCATTTGTCTCAGTTGGTTCCGTTTGACTCAGTTGGTTCCATTTGTCTCGGTTCCACTTGTCCTAGTTGGTTCTATTTGTCCCAGTTAGTTCCATTTGTCTCAGTTGGTTCCATTTTTCTCAGTTGGTTACATTTGTCCCAGTTGGTTCGATTTGTCTCAGTTGGTTCCATTTGTCTCATTTGGTTTCATTTGTCCCAGTTGGTTCCGTTTGTCTCAGTTGGTTCCATTCGTCTCGGTTCCACTTGTCCTAGTTGGTTCCATTTGTCCCTGTTGGTTCCATTTGTCTCAGTTGGTTCCATTTGTCTCAGTTGGTTCCATTTGTCTCAGTTGGTTTTATTTGTCCCAGTTGATTCCATTTGTCTCGGTTCCATTTGTCCCAGTTGGTTCCATTTGTCTCATTTGGTTCCATTTGTCTCATTTGGTTTCATTTGTCCCAGCTGGTTCCGTTTGTCTCAGTCGGTTCCATTCGTCTCGGTTCCACTTGTCCTAGTTGGTTCCATTTGTCTTTCATGGCAACTTTGAGGGGTTTGTTAATGCTGTCATCAAGTGGCTGAATCGTATTGGTCACAGGAATTCCTAGTGTTAATAGTGCAGAACAATACAAAGACAAGTGCATAACTACAGTGGCGAAAACACTTTTAATTTTGTAAATATGTTTCTGTTCTATGTCACCTGCAAACTGGCATTCTAAATTGAGGCCTTTTGTTGAATATTTTCTAAAAAATTGTTTGGTAAAAATCTGCTACATTGTACAAAATGTACACTGTCTTCAGACCCTATATCTTTTTTTTTGGGGGGGGGGGGGGGGGGGGGGGGGGAATAAATGTGTCTTAAAATAGGGAAGTTATTTTCTATTCTAGTGCTGTATTCATTTTCCATGTTTGGCACTGTTGGCCTAAACGGTTATGACATTAAATGTTGTATAACTGATTGGTTTGTTGAAAGTGCATTTCTCATTTGTCAAAACTGATTTCGATTTCTGCTTTCAGGAAGAAGGAGCTGTAAACAGTCAAGTTCCTAAATGATTAGACAGCAGTTGAGATTTCAGCTCTTGTCAGACTGAAGCAGAACTACAGAGCTTGAGAAATATTAGAAACAATGGCCAACCTTGCGGTGTCCAAGAAGGTCAGTTTCGTCGGGTCCTGGCTTGAGGATGTGCTCTCTAACGAGCTTTTCGGTCGTATTGCAAATCAGGCCAAAACTAAAAAGGGGAAAAAGATGAAAGTGAAGGTTAACGAACTAGGAATGAGGTTAGCGGAGACCACATTTCTGGCTACTGGGACGAGATTTTTTCCAATAAAAAGCCTGCAAATGATGAAACAGAATGAAGAGTTCCCTGCCTGTGTTATGTGTGTACTCTCTGACCCAAATAAAAAGTACAAAGTTATCGCGCTCCGCTGCGAAACCGAAGCAGACGCGGTTCAATTGACTAATTTTTTTGCTGATATTCGGAGTAAAGTTAAATCAGAGAATGTTGAACTAAAGAAGACAGATAGCGGAAACTGGACGCTGAGTGGGAGAACTGATTATAACGCCAACAGGCATTTGCTTGAAGTTTTCAATGAGCATAAACAGCCAAATGGAGATATAACTACCAAGACAGATGAAGACATACGTCATATAACTAGCAAGACAGGTGAAGACGTACACCATATAACTAGCAAGACAGATGAAGACGTGCACCATATACCAATACTTGATGCCAAAGAGAATCATAAAAACAGCAACAACCACCATAAAGATGTCTACATTACAAATGATAGGTCTGATATCATTCGACACAATGATCATAATGATGATGATGATTTTGTGATTGAAACTGAAGTCGAGACACATCCTTATGTGGCTGCTGAAATCCATGCAGGCCACGATGGTGGTGAAGTCAGGGCGCAAACCAGAAGATTTGAACATGTTTCCTTGGAGGATAGAGTAGATGCTGACCACCTGCCCACACATACCAAGCATATGAAACACATGGAAACGGTTGTGCATCCTACGAAACCAGTTGTGTACAGACCCACTCCTTCGGGTGTGGTTTCCTCACAGCCTAAGGTGTACCATGGTTCATCGAGAATCGCCGTGCCAGCAGAGTCTGTAGTGTATGGGGCTTCAACATCACACAGTATTCCTTCAGAGCGAATGGTATATGGGACTTCAACATCACGAGGTACGTCCCCAGAGCGTATAGTGTATGGTTCTACAACATCACATAGTATTCCCTCAGAGCCCGTAATATACAGCGCACAGCGCTCAACACCCTCACAACCTGTCATATACAGAGCCACATCATCACGTGCAGCGCTCCCACAACCTGTCATCTACGGCACCTCCACAAGATCGTACGAACCTACATTCTCTGCAACTTCGGCCGGTTACTACACAAACCCTTGGGCCCAGCGCCGGGTTTCCCGAGACTCTTCTGTCATTCACATGAGGCCTGGCGGCAACCAGACGCTGGTCAAATTTGACCAGCAATCCGTCATGTCGAATACCAGCCGATTCTCCCGCTCGTCTAGATTGGGACGTTCAGAACTTTCCATCCCAACCACGATTCAGAGATCAATTGAAAATGTTTACCCACAGCCGGTTGTGGTTCTGCGCCGGGCTCATGGATATGTTCCCGGCTACAGAGTCCGCCCAGCCAGCTACCACGCGAGAACTAGCGATCTGAAAGTTTATTATGAAGATGACCGCGACCGTGGTATGCTTCTCTAATTGTGTTCCGGTTGATGTATTCATGTCGATATTGTGTGAGAATAGCAAACTTAAAAAAAAAATTGTGACAGCTAGCAAGATTATTGAGAACAGAGCAAGAGGAAGCCAAAGAGATATATACATGAAGGGTTTGGCCATGTGAATGATCAGAGTTAGAGATGGAAGGGAAGCCTAAGAAGAACACTTCAGGGTGAGCAGCAGTTAGAGACGGCACGATGAGGCAGTATGAAGACAAGGATAGAGGGTGTCAGAGACTCAGTACAACTGTCAAGTGCAGGGAGGGAAAGTTGTGTTGATTGCGGTTCCCAAAAGTTCAGGTACTTATCTTTCATCAGCAGAAAATTGTGGAAGCCGGAACAAAACTAACCCTTTCTGTTGGGTTTCATGTAGCCAGATTGATTAAGGATCTACAGAACTGGTGTACCGTGGTGATGATAGTGGTTTCTAAAATATCTTGGCAGAAAAAGGATAAACTCTAGAACCAGACCATCCCCTTCAAAAGGTAATCTTGCCAGAATTGTTTTAGATCAACAAAGCTCATGTGCTGTGGTGTAGTAGTAGGCAGCCTTTAGTCCTCTAGGACCATAGAGCTGTGCAGCTAGATTTGATAACAGCGTCTGCTATGACCCTTAAATTCCAATGCTGGAGTGAATTAATCAAGTAACAGAAAGTGTATTGATCAGCACTCATAGAAAGAAGTAGAAAGATAGAAGAACACACTAGACAACATAAAAATCGAAAGCTATAGTTACCGTGCCGGGAATTGAACCTGTCACCGTCTGCGCCTCGCCATGGATACAAATGCACTAAGAACATGGTCAACTAGGCGTTTCTGTCACATAGTCCACATACACATGTGGATACTCCATTACACTGAGGCTGGTCTTCTCTGAGACGTCCCCTCTGTATAGCTTGGTTTTCATCGAGGTGATGATAGTGCCGAAGTAAATAGTTTGGTCATGTAGTAAGAATACAGACGTAAGAACTGCCAACGCAGGCGCTACACATGAACAGATCTGAAGTGACAGCAAGAGGCCGCTCTAGGAGAGCATGGATTGACGACATTAAAGAGCTTCATCATCAACACGGAGTGACAGTAGCAAATGCTACCCATCAAGCAATGGCTCGCAAACTTCTTTCCCACAAAGCTAAACATCAGAAGTGGAAATTGATGGTGATGATATTGGTTTCCGTAAACTCAAATAGGGATCTTTCCTCCGCAGAAAACTTTGAACGGTAGCAGAAAAGCAACCACTTTTGTTTGACGTCATGTTGCCAGATTGATTATCTACTTATAGATCTGATATATTTGTGGAATACTTATCAGCATCACAGAGGACTTAAGTGTGTCAAAGACTTATTACAACCAATTCTCAGTGCAGACATATTACATGGTTATAAAAGCAGATCCCGTAAACTTAAATGATGTTCTTTTCCTAGCATAAAAATTATGAATACCAGAACCCTTCCGAAGGTTATGTTGTCAAACTGGTATTGATATACAAAGCTTGGGTGCCATGGTGGTGATAGTGGTTTCCATAAACATCTGACTACTCCCTTACGCATTTACTGCATGTGCATGCTGTTGGATTTGCTATGACTGTAGTCTGTATCAGTTGTTTCGCAAGGGATATTGGTGGACATTATGTGTTGTTTTCTTTGGCACAGGAGCTGAGCAGTCTTGGGGTGACCTGTTTGCTAGGAAGCTGGAACTGCAATCACCCAATAGATTGGTTATCTGTCTACAAAGTTGGTCATCATGGTGATGATAGTTTCTCCAATAATCTCAAATACTTATTTTTCCCCAACAGAAAATGACCAATAGTGGAACAAAACTGACCCTTTCTGTTTGTTTTCTTATTGGTTTTCAGTCCAGTGGTACTATGATATCAGTGCCAAACGTGGACACTTAATCCTTTAATGAACGTAAAATTGTGACAACAGAGATGAAATGCCTTAGAATAGCTGCGGGAGTTTCAAGGAAAGACAGAATACGAAATCAGACAAATGCTGGGAGTAAAGCCAGTCTTACAGGTCTTCGAAGAACAACAAATGAAGTGGTTTGGACTCCGAACAAAAATGTCATGGTACTATCTGCCACAGCGAGCCACACTAAAACTTTACAACAGGTATAGAGCGAGTAGAAGACCTCGGAAAATTTGGAGTGATGGCATTAAGAACAGCTTTACTGAAATGAACATCAGCTTGTCTAAGTAATCCTCCTGACAAAGCTCATCAACGAATGTTACATTTCCGCCCAAAAGGGTACAAGGTGGAAGAGAAGAAGAAGTCCAGTGGTTGTTTTATATTATATATGCTTGCCTCAGGTCCGAAAGTTATAGTTCAGATCAGCGTCAAGGTGTGTTTTACCCCCTCAGAAACGACCTTAGCTCCCAGGTAGATCCAGCCTGAAATGGGAACCAGTTAATTTCCTGGGAAGTAAAGGTGGCTGGCACGATGTTGATAACATGACTCCCTGAATGCCAGCTGGTCTATAAAATGTAAGTTTTCACCATCTCACCGGCTGCCTTTACTTCCCAGGACTGTACCTGGTACACATTTAAGGTTGGGTCAACCTGGGAGCCAGGGTCATTTTTGAAGAAGAAAAAAAAAGTCAGGATTTGAACCCATGACCGTCCTATCCGCAGGTGAGCATCTAGCCACTACACCACTGTGGCTTCCGACAGAAGGCTGTGGAAAGATATGATTACCCCCATCACAGACATATAAGACGTTGGTTACCTATCTGCAGAGCCAGCGTATCTGTAGCTTACATATCAGTATGTTGTTACTGTACCATTTCCTAAATATTTTAGCATATGCTTATGTGGTTAACATAATTATCGACTTTAACGGTGCTCACTTAGTTAAGAAAGTCATCAACTGTTTGTTGTAGTGCACATAATCATAAATCATGGATTACAGTGGCCATTTAGTTACATAATTATGAACTCTTTATTACATTGCTTTTTTTTTTTTTTTTTTTACCATAGCCATAAACTGAAAGTTAATGGTTCATTATGTTACCATAATCTCAAACTGATCGTTACAGTGCTCATTTTATTTCTGTAACCATAAACTGACTGTTACAGTGATTATTATTTTCAGCGTAATTATGAACTGTTATATTGCTCATTTATTAACATAATCATGTGTCACAAACTTTGCTACGGGGCTCATTCCGTTAATATAATATCAAGCTGTTACAGTGCTCATTTTGTTAATATAATCATAACTCATATAAGTTGATTTAATTAACATAATTAATTATTTATTACATGCTAATTTAGTTAACATAATTATAAACTGTTACATTTGATCATATTAATTTGATTATTTACCATTTATTACACTAACTCATTCAGTTAACTTTTTAAATAAATTATTTACTTGGGGGGGGGGGGGGGGGTTACAGCCTTATCAGATTTGTGTGAATGTTACAGATTTATCAGATTTGTGTCAAGTTTAACAGCTTTATTGAGTTAGAGTGGATGTTACTTCTGTAATGACAAATGTGAATGTTACAGCTCAACATGGTTATTACGAATGTTACAGCTGTGATGACTAATGTGAATGTTACGGCTCTGTGTAGTTACTGAGAGTGTTACAGCTTTATCAGATGTGTGAATGTTACAGCTGTGATGAATAATGTAAACCATGTTGTTAACATGATTGTTACAGATGTGTGAAGCTAATGAAAATATTTCAGCTTCTTGAATTTCATGTGAGAATTATAACACTGAGGTTAATTGAATGTTACACATCTATGGGGTTTACAAGAACGTTACAGCTGTGGTGGTCAGTGAGAATTTTACAGTTATGGTGGCTAATGTGAATGTTAAAGGTAATATGAGTTACACATCTATAGAGCTAATACGGTGCAGACCGGTCAAGGTAATCTTGGATATGGTGAATTTCTGTTGTGAAGAACAATTTGTTTATCTCTGGCAATGTTTCTTGAACTTAAAAGAGATTAATCCCTGGATTTGGAGAGCATCTGTCTGACAAACAAGGAACCAACAGTCTGCATTAAAGGAGCCAGATCTCTAAAATAAAAATAAAAAGATGTGCACGCAACACTCAGGTTCTGAAACAAGACTGCAGTCCAGAAGTGAATGAACAACCAGAACTTTCCACCGGAGTTTACACCCAGTGAAGAAAAAAAAGTTTAAGAATATTCTTATGACTTGGCTGCATGATCTGCACTGACCTGATCTGTGATTGTGGTAATCGTGTGAGATGGCGAATCTTGACAGCCTACGCTTACTAGTGTTGCACATGATGATGATAAGAAGAAAAAGATAGAGATTTAAAAAAATATGCCTTTGATTATATTTCACGCTCATTTTAATTGTATCTATTTTTACATTTCTCACTGTTTGTAACTCTGATTAATTGTGTTTATATTTCTTACTATTTGTAAGTCTGATTGTGTTTATATTTCTTACTATTTGTAAGTCTGATTGTGTTTATATTTCTTACTATTTGTAAGTCTGATTGTGTTTATATTTCTTACTATTTGTATGTCTGATTGTGTTCATATTTCTTACTATTTGTGTCTGATTGTGTTTATATTTTTTACTATTTGTAGGTCTGATTGTATTTGTATATCTCACTCTTTGTAAGTCTGATTGTGTTTATATTTCTTACTATTTGTAAGTCTGATTGTGTTTATATTTCTCACTATTTGTAAGTCTGATTGTGTTAATATTTCTCACTATTTGTAAGTCTGATTGTGTTTATATTTCTCACTATTTGTAAGTCTGATTGTGTTTATATTTCTTACTATTTGTAGGTCTGATTGTGTTTATATTTCTTGCTATTTGTAAGTCTGATTATTTTATATTTCTTACTATTTGTAAATGTGCATACATTTATATATGCTAATACTAAAGTTTGTTGTTCGTGCTGCAAATGTACCTATATTTATATACATATATATATATAAAGCATGTTACTATTATTATTAATAACCAATTTATTCTTCCATATTGTAAATG